TACGGTGTCGAATAATTTGGTGTCGAATAAATCTGTGTCGAATCGAGCGGTGTCGAATCGTACTGTGGTCAAACGGAACACGCCCGTTGCTAGCCTGTTTCTCGCGCGTGGCTCGTATGTTTCTTTTCTCTTCCTCTTTCTCTTTCTCTCTTTCTCTCTCTCTCTCTCTTTCTCTCTTTCTCTCTCTCTCTCTCTGTTATACTTACGCGGACTGCGTTCCGATTCTTCACTGCCGGTACTAGAAATCTATAACACATGTGATGTGAAGTAGAGAGTTTTAATACTATCTAGTAGATAGCAGTAAATATCGGAACGCAACCTATAAAGAAATCTGAAAATAACATAATTAAATAATAAATTTAATATTATATATAAAACATAATTATACATATATGTAAATTTAATACATTACATATGTGAAATGTAATATTATATATAAAATGATAAAGGACAAAAAATCAAATTTTAAGCAACTTTAAATAAACTATTCATATAGTTAATATTATATAGACAAAAAGTATTAGTTTTAATTCTTTTTTTTAAACTATTTTATACCAAATACTACCAATTATTAAAGATACGAAATAAACACAAAACCGATAAAATGTAAATACTTTTTTCTCATATATTAAAACTTATTAACCAATAAAAAATTTATCTCAAAGCACTTTGGCAAGAAACACTGTGCTCTCATATACATACATATTAACAATATAAATAACAATGTAAATAAGAATGTATGTATAATATATTTTTATATACACACATATATATATATATATATATACACATAAATATATACATATACGAAAGTATTCTTATAAAACGAAAACTCCGAGAAACACTCGTACAAATATTTCAAAGGTCTGTTTTTATATTAGTGAGTTTTTATTTGTATAAATAAAAGGTGTAAATTAATCATGATATGATTCATAAAAAATCTCATTTTACTTATTTGTTATTAGATATTTTTCATAGGACAAAATATTAAAGTTTAACTTGTAACTAGTAATTTTTAAAAAAGTCCGTGAGCTTGAAATACAAAGAAAGGTTTTCAATGTCGAAAAAATAAGTGAAAACGAAAGAGTAAACGAGATGTTTATTCCCAAGAAACAATGGAAAATCATGTGATCATATAGAATTATATGTGGATCGAATGTAATTTTGTATGATTGTACTTTTATATAAGTCGAATATAATTTTATACAGGGTGTCCTACAATTACTTTAACATCTCTCGTAGGCAGATAGAAGGAGTAAAACTGAGTCGAAAAGTCCTGAACCATTTTTTTCTATTACATATAATAAAGGAGTAATTATTGAATAAATCAGGCTAATCAGCGCCGACCTTTAGCCGAACGCACGTCAGTGAACCACACTTCTGGTGTGCGTGATCGCTCCGCGCGGCTCACTGACGTGAGCCCGGCTAAAGGTCGGCGCTGATTGGTTACATTTATTCAATAATTACTCCGTTATTATATGTAAAAGAAAAAAATGGTTCAGGACTTTTCGACTTAGTTTTACTTCTTCTACCTGCCTACTAGAGATGTTAAAGTAATTGTCGGACACCCTGTATAAGGATNATATTTGGATATGATTTTATGTGATCGTATAAAATCAGATTCAAAATTTGACGCGATCTGATTTTATATGATCACATATAAATATTACAAATCATATAGTATGATACATAATTTTATGTATTTATATGATCGTATAAAATCATATCCAACTTATATAAAATTATATTCGATTTGTATAAAAGTTTATACGCGATTAAATACAAAATTATATCCGATCCACATATAATCCTAAATGATTACATTTTTCCATTTTTTCTCGGACGCAGACGCGCTAATAGAGTAAACTGTATCATGGCATTGCGCGAGAAATTGAAAGAAGTACTTTTGAGCCGGAGATCTCGCTGACGGAGACCGAAGGATAAACGCACGCAATAGTAGGAGACAGCAGGAGGAGAATGATTTCCCCTGCCCGTTCTCCTCTCACATTGTTCAGCGAATCGCGAGTTTTGTTTACAAAGTCTGTGAACGAACGGTTGGTATCGCTCATTTGTTTGTAGGCCGTTGGAAGACAGCGACCATGTCGAAATGTAAGTACAATTCTCGGTTTTATATTGTTTTTTATTAACTTAGCACGTAAGATATGTGATTTATGATTTATATGTTCTTATTTTTTATCTATATTTATATTTCAATTTATTTCCTTCAGCACGAAGTAACCCAACAAAATTGGGACGTAAGTTGGCAGCGGCGGCAGTGGCAACGACGTCGACGGCACCGACGCTGCTGTTGACGCCGACGCCAACGCCGCTGACGAAGAAGGAACCAAAAAACATTACAAGGACAACGGCAATGTCACCGCTAGCGGTGACTGGAAGACCGGCGGCATCGTCGTCGTTGTCGTCGTCGTCGTCGCCGTCGCCAACGCCGACAACGATTACGAATCAGAAAATCGTTACAAAGACAACGGCGACGTCACCGCTAGCGGTGACTGAAAGAGCGGCGGCGGAGAAGACAATCGCGTTGACATCGGCGTCGGCGTCGTCGTCGTCGCCAACGCCAACGCCGCCGAAGATAACAGAAGTTTACAGAAGTATTCAAGCGACGAAGACTACGACGTCACCGCTAACAGCGGAAGGCAGAGCGGCGGAGTCACTATCAGTGAAAAAAAAGACGGGGCCAAGATCGTGGTCGGCTAGAGGAAACTGGAAAAAAATGCACTTACTAAGGTAAGTGATTGTTATATGAAATGTTGCAATGTATGCGTGTACGTGTAATGACAAAAAACATAAAATGTTAATGAATGAATGAGTAGAAAGATTATGCAACGAATGAGTGAGAGAGAGAGAGAGAGAGAGAGAGAGAGAGAAATAGCTAGATAAAAAAAAGCATAGAATGTTTATGGATGATTGAGTAGAACAGTTTTGCAATGAATGATTGAGAGAGAGAAAGAGAGAGAGAGAGAAAGAGAGAAAGAGAGAGAAAAAGAGAGAGAGAGAGAAAGAGAGAGAGAGAGAAAGAGAGAGAGAGAGAGAAATAGCTGGCTTAAAAAAGCATAAAATGTTAATGAATAACTGAGTAGGAATGTAATGCAATGAATGAGTGAGAGAAAGAGAGAAAGAGAGACAGACAGAGACAAAGATAAATAGAAAAAGTGTTATAAAAAAATGTATGAGTGAATGAGTGACTAGAAAGGTAATGCAATGAGTTAGTAAAAGAGATACATATGTACCAGGTGTATGCATAAGTTTTTTCCGGTTTAACTAAGAGATGGCGCCAACAAAAAGTACGCAGCGTATTAATTTGACACATACGTCATTTTGTTCGTCTGACATTTAAAACTACAAACACACAAGTTGAGTCCGCCAAAAACTAGCGTCTTTGTTTTATCGTTCAGTGATCATGTCAAGTTTTGTGCCTGAAAAAGAACATTTGCGGCACGCATTGCTTTTCTTATTTAATCAAAAGAAAAAGGCTGTTGAAAGTCATCGTTTGCTAGTAGAAACATATGGTGAACACGCTCCATCGATTAAAACATGTGAGACATGGTTTCGACAATTTAAAAGTGGTGATTTCAATGTGAAAGACAGTGAGCGCTCTGATAGACCACAAAAATGCGAAGACGAGCAATTGCAAGAGTTATTGGATGATGACCCAACTCAAACTCAACGGCAATTAGCAGAAGCATTACATGTGTCACAAGAAACAATCAGCAGACGTTTACAAGCAATGGGAAAGATCAATAAACTCGGTAAATGGGTCCCACACGATTTGAATGAACGTCAAATGGAAAATCGCAAAGTCACTTGTGAAATGCTGCTTCAACGCCACGAAAGGAAATCATTTTTGTATCGAATTGTGACGGGTGACGAAAAATGGATT